AGTTACTGAAAAGGTTAGAAAAACTTCAATGATTTATTAAGAGCAGAGCAATAACCTAAAGGAGAGAAAAAATAGTACTGTGTTAACAGAAAAGAGCAACTTCCCCTTTTGAATCAGGGAACTGTTGATATTAATACTCAATTAAAAAACCTTATAAGCAAATAATTCTCCTCAAATCGTAACCAACGTGGTCACACATAAAATTCTTTACCCAACATTCATCTTTCATCAACTTATGACAACTTCTCGTATCTATTCAGTTTCTGTCCTATACTTTTTCCCTTTCTCAACAAGCCATTCTATTTTAGGATAAAAATACTTTTTTTCCCTTAACAAAACAAAACACATCTTCATCGTTTTCAGCTTTTAGTACCAAAAACGCATCTTACCTTCCTTGTATATTTGCATATAGAGTATTTCCCTTATTATTTCTAGTAATTGTAGTCACATATACTAATAGAATTCTTAATCCTTAATAACCTTAATTCAGAGTGAAAACTAAATAGCAGTTTTGAGCTGCCTGAAACATTCTGTAATTTAACATCGCTTCATAATCCCTACAAGCATGCACTTGCTCATAGTACAGTATTTCAGCTTGGTACAGGATGTGTTTAGTAACAGACTCAATTGTTTCAATCTGTTTTTAATAAGGAGCCGTAGGTGAGGTGAAATTTTATCTATATCCTTTTATATTTTTAGGGGGGCAGGCTAAGTTTTTGCTTGTTCAAATTTCCCTCAGCCTCAACTTTCTATCTTTGATGATAAAAATACTAAACCTCTTATTATATGAACATCTTTCACCTGAAAATTTTATCTCCCTCACATATATTTAATTCATTTGTTTTTAACAGTTTGGCTTAGATTTCTCATGAAGATGAGACATTAAATAGCAGGCCATAATCTTAAGTTATGTTTATTGCTGGCAAATTGTTTAATATTGAGGTAACATGAGCTTCTCTTACTAGTAACCTAGGAAAAGTTATGTGTATGTACTATGTATAATGTGAAAATTCTGAAGACGTGTCTACTTTTCAACCAGAAAATACACTTTAAGTATATTTTATTTATCAAAGATTATCCCAGTGTATATAAAACTTGAAAACAAATTTGGCTTCCCTTCCATCTTTCTAAGTGCTCAGGAATATTTAACTAACATAAGTATCAGCAGAAGCAAATCAGTACCAGTCCCCAGCAACTTGATTCTTACCTCTTCATAGGAAGGAATTCATCTGAGTGGCATAAGCTAGAATGAGAGATCAAGGCACGTTTTAGAGCAGGAGTAAACGTTTATAAAAATGTTTTAGAGCAAGATAAAAGGAAGTAAAGTACACTTGGAAAGGGGCAAATGGATGACTTGAGAGATACAAGTGTTCAATTTGACCTTTGACTTGGAGTTTTAAATATTGGCATGCTTCTGGGGTCTGTGTCTCTTTTTCCCTTGGGGTGGGCTGACTGCATGTCCAGCAGCCTACCAGCACTCTGGAGGGGCTGCATGCTCAGTGTGTTTACTGAAGTTGTGCACATGCTCATCCGAGGAGTTTTTGTTATTGTTGTTGTTTGTTTGTTTGTTTTTACCAGTCCAGTGTTCCTAGAGGAAGGTCATATACCAGTTAAATTCTACCATTTTGCTTCTGAGTAAGCATGTTTGAGCCAATTTACCCAACTACTGAGATCTTATCAGGAAGCTGTTGAACACCAGCTCCAGGTGTTTTCTAGCTATTTGGAGACTGTTTTTTCCTGGTACCAGCTGTGATCAATTATTATTTTAGTGAGACAGTTCAACAACCACCTCACCCTCATCTGATAGTCACCTGACATTCCTGGGTGGTGAGCAATTCCCTCTCCTGCCATGCTCATGTCTACCTAACTACCTACTCTAACATAAGCACATTCTTAAGCTATAAATAGAGCCCATTTACAAATGAATTTTGGCCATACCGTCTGGAGGTAGGGAAAAGAACACACACATATATACGTACAGACAGACAGACATAAGCATAGAGATGTATGCAGAACCTAAAAGTCACTTTTTAAATTTTTAGTCATGTGCCAGTTACGATAATACAAAACTCAATAGCATACGAAATGTCTACACCTGAATTATATTTCTGGCAGATGGAATAAGTTAACATTATTCATGCAGGTGGCTAAAGCTATTTTTTTTATAATTGTGGAACAGACTTTTAAGATTCTTTATTGTCCAAATATCTCTTCTTTTTCTGGTGATGATGAAGAGCCACCTTCCACAAATTTGCATTTTAGAAAGACATCTATTAGGTCTTAGAGAAAACAAAATAGAAATTTTCATCTTATAGTCATAGAGCTTAGACTTTATGTTTGCATATAATCATTTTCCTAAATGAAGAAAGAGAGAGGTATGCAAGTCTCAGGTAAGATAAGAGATAAAGGGGAAAAAAAAGCCTTACACAAAGATAAAATTTGTGCTGTAAATTTATGTGAATGCATTCCCCATTCTTTAGTTACTCAGTATTGTTTCTCTTTCTTCTACAAACAGAAAGACATTTTACAAATGAAAATTTCCTTTATAGATAAAAGTTGCTCTTCAAAGGAGTCTCAAAATAATAAGCTGAAAATAATCTTATGTCTTAGAAGCATATTTTGAGTAATAAGTTAGATAGATCAATGGTTTTGGGCCCGAATTTGGTTTTTCAGTTAGCTTACTGTGTTCAGGGAAAAACTCATTGAAGGGTAGGAAAGCATTTTCTATGCCTAGATCAACGTGGATACTTCTAGTCTTATTTTAAACAGAGACTGTTTCTTCCTTTTCGTTGGTTTGTTTCCAAGATTGAATGAAAGGCCAGCCAGTTTTTTTTTTCCAAAGATAGAGTTTAGGAACAGAACAAATATCATGACGGTGTGGAGGAGATGGATAGAGTTGGCAGGGCACATAGTCAGCAGGGCTTATAGAGAGAGGACTTTCAGTCAACTGATAGGTTCCCATGGGAGAAGCAGGATTAAGTAGAGATCACAGAGAGGACTAATTCTTATAAGTGTTTTTCTGAAAATGTTCCAAGTGTCAAACGCACAGCTTCAAGCACAGGGACATTTTGGACTAGATTTGAAACCCTCACCATGGATATTCTGTTTAGTCTGAGAGATTGTTAAGACTCTGAGAGATTGTGGTCCCAGATGTGAAGCTATTGAAAACTTCCTCTAGTGGAGACACAATCCAGCCCAAAGGGAGTAAGTTCATGAGATGGCTGATGTAAAGTAGACAATTTCTTTTTCAATGGCTTTGTTACCAGAAAGGGGTTCCTATCTAGACCACAAGAGAGGGCTCTTGGATCACACACACACACACACACACACACACACACACACACACACGCACACACACAGGTTCAGGGCATAGAGCGAAGCAAAACCAAGTTTATGAAGAAAGTAAAGTGTGAAAGAATAGCTACTCCACAGGCAGAGTAGGGCATTCCCAAAAGTAAGAGGAGGAACACTCTCACCCTAGGTACAATGTACAATGCTTGTTTATATAGAGATAAAGAAAGATCCTGGGGAGATGTGCTCTACTACATGGATTTTTGAGAAAGGATTAATTTTCTTAAGAAGTACCATATTTTGCAAGAATCAATATTATTATGTTTAAAACAAAATTAGAAATGCTTCTGTTCTCAAGATATTGGGATTTCAGAACACTCCTAAGTCTCAGACAGTTTAAAATGTTATCAGTCTGTTCCTTTAACCATAAAATCCAGAGGAGAGGAAATTTTTGGAAATGCAGCCCAGGATATACTCATTTTTTTCCTAGCCCTCACTGAAGATGGGTTTATTCTGGTTTGAATGTCTATGAGAGCCTAGCTGTTTATAGTAAAAACTATCAATTCTGGAAAAGGTAAAAGAAAGAAAATGAATGAAAATAAAAGAAAAAATCTTATGAGTCTATAAAATCACACCCAAAGAGCAAATATAAGAGTTATTGGCATTCAGGAGGGAGTAGAAAGCAAGAAAGGAGTAGAATACTTATTCAAATAAATAATAACATAAAACTTTCCAAACTTTGAAAAGATGTAAATACTCAGACATAGGAAGTGCAAAGATAACCAATCAGACTCAACTCTAATAAAACTACCCGAAGGAATATAATGATAAAACTCTCAATGGCCAAGGACAAGGGGAGGATCAGGAAACTAGAAGTATCAGGAAACTAGAAGTATCAGGAAACTAGAAGCAAATAATATACAAAAGGATTCTGTATGACTGGTAGTAGATTTCTCATCAGTAACCGTAAAGGACAGTAGTAAGCGGGGATGAGATATTTAAAGCACCAAAGGCAAAAAAAAAAAAAAAAAAAAAGCCAAAAAAAAAAAAAAAAAAAAAAAAAAAAAAAAAAAAAAAAAAAAAAAAAAAAGCCAACAAAGGATAATGTACCCAGCAAAGCTAAACTTCAGGCAAGAAGGAGCAATCTTTTCCCAAATAAACACTGAGAAAATTAATCAGTACCAGACCTGTCTTATAAGAAATGCTAAAAGTAATTCTTTAATTTGAAAAAAAGGACACTAATGTGTAACATAGTAACATTTGAAGGTAAAAAATTCACTAATAAAAGTAAGTGTACAGACAAATTCAAAATACACTAATGTGTAATTAAAGTGTACAAATCATTCAGATTTTTAGAATACTTACTAAAAGACAAAATTATTAAAATAACAACTATTTATAGGATAGACCTGATGTGAAATGTTATGATCACACCAAAAGAAAAAAAGAGGAATTCAAAAGTTCCGTGTGGCCCCTACAGAGAACATAGGACAGACACTGATAAATTTCAAATCTAACTGGAACACTTCGGGATCAGGAAGCCTGCTATCAAAGTTCTCCAATTAAACTCAAGAGGGATGATTCCAGATGTAATATTCACTGTTGCTACTACTCAGTCCCTCTGAGATTTGCTTTAAGAGAAAGACCCAAGTCTCTCATCCTGATATAAACAGCGCTGCATTTTACAGCTTGGAAAGGTACCAAGAACATTCCTTAATCAAAGACTGAGACATAAGTGTGTTTCAGAACCACAAGTAAGTCCTTGTTTTTAACCTCCTTTATTTTTAGTCAAGAGGAAATTATTCTAAAGTTTTAAACAGAGTCCCATAAATCATGTATATGTACCATTCTTAAATATCACATTTTCTTTGACTTTGAAAATCAGTGAAGAACAGGAATCTTGATTTTTATCCCCGAGAGAAGATATGTCTTCTGTCATTTGCTATGTGTAATGAGTAAGGTCAGCTATAAAAAGTATTCATTACCTTCCTACTTTATTCAGATTTTATTACCTTGAAGGTTGCTTATTAAAAAGTCACTAATTCTTATGTTTCTAATTTCATCTCAAGCATATTGCTTATCTCTAGCTTTATAAGCATAAATTGTCAACATTATATTTTCCTTTGTATACCTGTAAGACAAATTTAACTTTGGTACACTGTTTGGTACCAAAGTTTAAATTTGGTACACATATTTCTTAAAAATATGTATATGTGGTCTTTTGGTTTTGTTTTGTTTCTAGGAGTAGAGTTTGTCACTCAGTTAATTTCTCTGACTTCAGACTTACTGAAATTTTCTTTAATCTTCCCGGTCAGTATTTTACAAAACAATCACTGGTGCAAAACACTGAAAAAGGCAAACAATTCATTTATTACACAAAATTTAAAGTGTATTTTTAGATGCAGGAGAAGGCTTATTCTAATGAAAGAGTTCATATACTTCAGTGCAGGAAATCTATGAGCCCCTTATATTTGGAAGGTAAGATTTTGAGCATGTACATTTATCTTGGCTCAGAAGTCACAGTTTCATTGGATTTTCAAGAAATTCATGTAACATACAAACAAGAATGCTCTGCTGTCAGGGCATTCAAATTCCTAGTAACTTTTGAACAAGGATTTTTTATATTTTTACTTAAAGTTGAGCTCAATATAGTATGCAGCTTCTCCCAGTTCTAAGTTTTACAACTTGTAACTATCTCCAGTCCTTGAGCTACTCCTCTGCTGGTTTTTCTTCCATCAAGTAGAGCCTAACTGGGAAGAAAACTGTTCAATTCAGATGTTCCTTTTTCAGAAGGCGTTCCTCTTTTACTCTGACAATTTACAGGCAGCCAGACCTGCTGTGGCTTTTTTCCTGTATCACACATTCTATTCCTTGTCATTTTTGCTCCTATCCCCTCTTGAGTGCCTCTGCTCTAATTCAATAGGATATTTTTGGATCTGACACAAGTGTTGGAATCTGGAAGACAAAACTGTTTAAAATCACATAAGTGACATGTAACCAACATGTCCTCCAGTAAATGAAACCCTCAAGGACAGTTTCTGAATGTGTTTTTTATTTTAGTCTCAAATTTTCACATTCTGATCTTTTTATACCCAATTTTGTCTATTCCTGTAAACATTATTTATCCTCTCTTTGGGGCTTCATGGATGTAGAGAAACATGAAAATATCTCCTGTGTCACTTTGCTGCTGCCATACAAAATACTTTTTTTTCTGAATATTTTCTCCTAGATGCCTCTTGAAGAGTAGCTACAAATAACCACCAAACCCTGTTCTCCAGGAAAGCCCCTGAATATCCTTGGAAAAGTCATAGGTAGAGACGAAACACATATTCGATGAAGTAAACGTTTGTGTTTTAGGAAACATCTCAGCTGGATTTTCTGTGCTTGTCTGTAAGAGCTCTATGCGCACTCACACACACAGACACATCAGTAATCCTTTCAAAACAAGACCACTGATCTTTATGCATCTGCTCTTCATGCGTCCAGGAACACCCTTTCTAAAACAGCCTTATACCTTGATGTCTTCCATCTTAAGTTTGTTGCTAAGAAGGGTCACCTTTAAAGTGAGGTCTTCCTTGATCTTTCTATTTGCTAATGGGTACGCCATTTATTGACCATTCTATCAGTCTCTGTTCACTAGAAAGAATGTAGAAGGTCTTCATTTCTGTATCTGCAGTGTCTAATAACACAACATGTTGAGTATAAGTCTTGTTTTATAAATATCTAAGTCGATGTTCAGAGTGACTTGAAAGGAGGGTGGAGAAGACTTTATTGTCACCATTTTCAAATGGAAAAATGAAGTGACTCTTCCACATGCAAAGATTTAGATTGTAGGAGCATTGATGTAGTACACAACTCTAGACATACTCCTAGTATCAAGATTTGTTACTGTGTTTACATGTGATATTCCCTAGATTACTTTAGATACAGGTTATGCGGAGTTATGAGTCATGCATCCAGTGCACATGCCTAACTGTAGGTAGAATGCACGTGGCACAATTTTGTTTTTCATGCTGCACTATATAAGAGTGCATGATTGTCTTTGTCCCCAACTGTTCCTATCATCATCTATCTTAAGGCCTTCTAGGCCTATATATGAAGAATTTCATAACACAGTTGATGTTTCAGAAAGCAATAGTAAAAGAGTTTCCCAGTCATAATCATAAGTTCTCATCTCAGACCCTGTATCCACCAGCAGTTGAGCTTGGTCCAATTATTTGACCACCATACTTCATTCTCTCACTGGTAATGTGAGGAGAATGATAGGATCCCTCACATAGGATTTTGTGAGCACTAAACCTAGTAAGTATGCAAAGAGCTTAAGACTACAACATGGTATATGGTTAAAGTTCCAGCCAGGTGAGTACCTCACACCTTGTAATCCCAGCATTCTGAGAGGCTGAGGAGGGAGGTTGCTTGAGCCCAGGAGTTTGAGACCAGTTTGGGCAACATAGTGACACCCCTTTCTATACACCCTCAATCCCCATTCTCCCCCAAAATTAGCAGGATGTGGTGGCACATGCCTGTAGTCCCATCCCCACCTACTCGTGAGGCTGAGACAGGTGATTACTTGAGCCCAGGAGTTAGTGGTTACAGTGAGCTATGATTGTGCTATTGCACTCCAGCCTGGGTGACAGAGGGAGACCGTGTCTCTGGTAAACAAACAAACAAATGAATAAGGAAATACTAAAAAGATCTACATATGCTAGTGATAACTGTAATTATTATATTTGGCAATTATGCATTGCGTAGTTACTGTTCTGGGTAGAGAGATCCAGCAGCAAAGAAAACCTTGATTGTCAACCTGAAACTTATAGTCAAGTAAGTGTGGTCTCATTTTAAAATGAAAAAAGAATTGAGAAAATTGTAAGTACAGAAAACCATTGTAAGTGTGAAAGATAGGGAAAAAGTAAAAATGTTTTGAGAGAAAGGAAGAGGGGATTCAGCACTAGTAGTGATGTGAAGAGAAACACAAACCATAGAGAATTCTAACACCTCATGTTTGATACAAGAGCTTAATAGCTGAAATACTAACCATGCCAAACTGATTTTTTTAAATAAAGACTTTAAGTCGCTACTATGATCATCTTTAAAATACTGTAGGACAATTCATTTGTTTTACAAATTCTTATTTATGTATTTATCATATATGTTTATTGAGAAATAGTGATTGTGCCATTATAAGATGTGATCTGGGAACATGCATTAGAATCCAATGGATAATTGGATAAATGTTACATATGAAAATCTCAGTACCCAACATAAGACTTTCTGAAACAAACTGTGAATTTGCTCAATTAACAAGTTTCCCAAGAAATCACATTTAAAATACAAAATTTTAAATGCTATTTAAAAATGTTAAAAAGCACTTAATTCTTAGTACACGCCATCATGCAAAGCTATATGAAGATACAGAAGTGAATAAAATACATTCATTTTTTCATGCTTATACTACCTTTTCTTGTTTTCTTTAAACTTCAGTGTATAAATCTGTGATGAGTAGTCACACAACAATAATAAACTGGACTTTGCCTTCCCTTTGAAGTAGTAATATATAAAAAGTAGACATGTTAATATGATGATGTAATGTACTACAGACTATATAAGTTTATAGGGTATGCTGCAAACGCAGAGCAGAAAGGGATTAATTCAGTCTCAGGTAAGTGAGGAGTGTGGTGATAAATGATTTACAAAACTGTAACTTTTAGTCTGTGCTTTTTACGTTAAGTAGAAATTAAGAGCAAAAATTAATGTGGAGAGATAGAAGATCTGTAGCTCAGTTGAACGTATAGAAATGGATGTGGGTGTAGGTAGAGTTACAGGTGTGAGACAAAGTATAGAGGGAGTAATGTGATCGTAATTTTTTTTTTTTTTTTTTTTTTGCGGTGGAGTTTTGCTCTTATCGCTGAGGCTGGAGTGCAGTGGCACAATCTCTGCTCACTGCAATCTCTGCCTCCCAGCGACCTCTGTCTCCCAGGTTCAAGTGATTCTCCTGCCTCAGCTTTCCAAATAGCTGGGATTATAGGTGCCTACCAGCACACCCAGATAATTTTTGCAGTTTTGGTAGATACGGGATTTCACATGTTGGCCAGGCTGGTCTCGAATTCCTGACTGCAAGCAAGCCAACTGCCTCAGCCTTCCAAAGTGCTGGGATTACAGGCATGAGCCACCACCACGGGCTGTGGTAGTAACTTAACATAAAGGCAAGTGCAATCAATAATTGCTTAGTAGAAATACAAAGTAAGATTATGCTAAAATTCATTTTGGACGGCAGTTTTTAGAGAAAAATGGTTTCCACTGTCCTTAACAATGATTACCTTTTTATTTGCTTCATTTCTGTAGTTTCAAGAGCAGACACAGAGTCTCAGGAAATGTCCAACATAAATGGCAGTGCAATCACAGAATTTATTTTACTGGGGCTCACAGATCGGCCAGAACTCCAGCCTCTGCTCTTCGTGTTGTTTCTGGTTGTGTACCTCATCACCGTCTTAGGCAACCTGGGCATGATAATGCTAATCAGACTGGACTCTCGCCTTCACACGCCCATGTACTTCTTCCTCACTAACTTAGCCTTTGTGGATTTGTGCTATACATCAAATGCAACCCCGCAGATGTTGACTAATATCATATCTAAGAAGACCATTTCCTTTGCTGGCTGCGTTACACAGTGCTACATTTTCATTTCCCTTCTCGTCACTGAGCTTTTCATATTGGCAGCAATGGCCTATGACCGCTACGTGGCCATATGTGACCCTCTGCGCTACAGTGTGAAAATGTCCAGGCGAGTCTGCATCTGCTTGGCCACATTTCCCTATGTCTATGGCTTCTCAGATGGACTGTTCCAGGCTATCCTGACCTTCCGCCTGAGCTTCTGTAATTCCAATGTCATCAACCACTTCTACTGTGCTGACCCACCACTCATTAAGCTTTCTTGCTCTGATACTTACATCAAAGAACTTGCCATGTTCATATTCGCTGGCTTGAACCTCTCCAGCTCCCTCACCATCATCCTGGTGTCCTATGCCTTCATTATGGCCACCATCCTCCGGATCAAATCAGCAGAAGGAAGGCACAAGGCATTCTCCACCTGTGGTTCCCATATGATGGCTGTCACCCTGTTTTATGGGACTCTCTTTTGCATGTATGTAAGACCACCAACAGATGAGACTGTTGAGGAATCTAAAATAATAGCTGTGTTCTACACGTTTGTCAGTCCGGTACTTAATCCATTGATCTACAGTCTGCGGAATAAAGATGTGAAGCAGGCCTTGAAGAATGCTCTGAGATGAAGTAGGGTCATGACCATGGCAGTGCCTTTGTTTCCTAATAAATCTTAACTCAAAATCTTTGGCTCAAATGTCCCTGCATTCTGATAGTGAGTTTTAATATTCTCTGCAAGTGTATCTTGAGTGTCTCAGCTAGAAAGCTCATGCTGGGGAAAAATCAGATTTTTCTAGGCTTTGCCCCTCCAAACGTTCCATGAATCAGCAGCATGAGCTCTACCTTGGAGGTTGTTGCACATACAGAATCATGTTCCGCACCTCAGGTGCACTGTATTTAAATATGTGTTTTATCCAACCCCCTAGGTGATTTATAAGCACATTCAATTTTGAGAAGCACTGCTGTGAATGAAACATGGCATGCCCGGGAACACTGTTGTGCTCTTTTTGTTTACAACGGTAAAGAAAATTAGTGTGCTCTCAGCTCAATTTCTTGAATTTATTCTCTTATTCCCACCTGCTGTTTCAGCAGCATGTCTTTAGAAACCCATTCTTCTGTATTCCAAGAAATCTATTCTTTTGTACTCCTCTCCTGACTTGCTGAATTAGATCAGAAACTAGGGGTCTTAGTGGTGGTTTCTAGTTTTTATAAATGCGCTTATGTAGTGAAGAGTGGCAATGGGAAAAGAGAAGAACAGAATAATTGTACACTCTTAAATTTGAGTTTATGGATTTATCTCTCTGAATTACACAAACCCACCTCCTCATTCGCAGCCTCCAGTCTAGGGATATTACTTTCTGTCTCACCTGATTTTGAAAAATTCAAGCAGGTCGATCTGAGAATAAGGACTAAAATTAGAATGGGAAATAAAACAACCAATAGGTCATACAATAGAGTATGCACCTTGCTTTGAATATTCCTTCTATTCCTAATTATGTTTAGGTAAGTAATGTCAATTTTTCTTTTCCTTAGCACCAGCCTGTTTATATGTGCCATGAAAGTAAGGATTTCTTCTAGGAGAAGAGAAGAAATTGCTCTGGCATCTTCATATACCCTGAGAAAGTAGAGAGAATTCCTTTTTAGGCATTGTGCCAAAATGAATGATTTAAAGAAGAAACAAAACATTATTTTTTTTTTTCAATATAGATTTTCACTCTGTCACCCAGGTTGAAGTACAGTGGCATGATCATATCAATAGCTCTCTCCAACTCCTGGGCTCAAGTGACCCTCCTACCTGAGCCTCCTGAGTAGCTAGGACTCCTGAGTAGCTAGGTGTGTGCTACCACAGTTGGCTAATTTTTAAAATTTTGTTATATATCTGAGATCTGTCCATGAGCTCAGGCAGCTCATAAACTCCTGAACTCCTGCCTCAGCCTCCCAAAGTGCTGGGATTACAAGCATAAATAATATGCCCGGTCCAGATTCTTCTACTCTCCAAAATTTCTTATGCTTCAAAATACTAAATATTTTCTAAATACCTTTACTGGAAGACAAATTCTGCCATTACAGCATTAGAAAATAAAAGGCATAAAATATTTTGTCCATATAAGTATATATTAAGTTGTACATTAAATAACTCTAGTTCTAAGGCTTCTGAATTTTGTTCTTGTTGTTTGAGTTTGTTGTTTGTTTTATAAGTCAAAAAAAGCCCCAAGCTATCTAGGTCAACAAGGGGAATTTATTACAAATATATGGTTATATTTCACAAAGTATAAGACAAGAGTACAGCTGGATCTCAGTAATCCACCAAAATGCTGAACTCTAAGACCATGAGAAACCTTATGTCTCATTGTCTATTTTATATCTATTTGTTACTAGGATATATAATAATTGAGTTTAATTATGACCGTCATGTCCAGCAATCCTGCTCATTTGTTTTAATTATAGTAGAATTTTTGTTTATTTCTTCTATAAATTCTGTAAAATTTATGGCATTTCATCTGCAAATTAAGAGATTTTATTCCTTTTCAGTATTTATGAGTTTTATTTATTTTTCCTTCCTCATTGCATTGCATTGGCTTAGACTGAAATTACAATGTCAAATAGAGGTAATGAAAACCAATATCAATGCCTTGTTCCTCATTTCATGTATTTATTTATTTATTTGAGACACAGTCTTGCTCTTATTGCCCATGGACTGCAATGGCACAATCTCAGCTCACTGCAACCTCTGCCTTCTCGGTTCAAGCAATTCTCATGCTTCATCCTCCTGAGTAGCTGGAATTATAGGTGCCCGCCCCCAGGCCAGGCTAATTTTTGTATTTTTAGTAGAGATGGGGTTTCACCATTTTGGGCAGGCTTGTCTTGAACTCCTGACCTTGTGATCTGCGTGCCTCGGCCTCCCAAAGTGCTGGAATTACAAGTGTGAGCCACCACGCCCGGCCTTGTTCCTCATTTTAGGGGGAACATATTTAATGAATCATCAGGTTGTATAATGCTCACTGTAGAATTTTCATAGAGGTACTATATCCATTTGAGCAATTTCCCTTCTATTATTTGACTTAATTACATTTTATTTATTTATTTATTTATTTTGAGAATTATTCAGTTTTTGCTTGGGTCATTAGTTTGATTATTTTTTTGGAGTATTATTGAGTAAGATTCCATTCTAAAATTTGACATGTTTATTTATCCATCTGTTGTTAGAAGTGGTATTGTTTTATTAAGCATCAAATTATCTTAAGTTTCAGGCTTAATGATAGTGTTATTTCTGGGACATAAGGAAGATTTTCCCACTTATCCAATATAAACTCATTCTATGAGAGGCGTAGCTACAACGATTAACAACCATGAATTTCTACTTTTACGTGTGCAGGATGCTGTGTTCTCTTTTTCTCATCTGGTCAAGGCACCGTGGCTCCAACATCCTCATCTATGGGATATCTTGATGACTTTTATAGGTAGAAGTAAGCATTTTCTGCATTGTGTCCTTAATCTACTTTTTAATTAGAAATTTTAGTTAATTTCATACTATATTCATTTCTGTGGTCAAAAATTCAAATAAAATTGTGAAGTGGCATGGTGGCTGAAGGATAGTAATGATACGGTTAGGCAATTTTGGTAAGTCATGAAATATTTTTTTCTTAAATGAAGAAATCAGCTATTCTTCTTCATCTACTTATTGCTACTATAGAAAGCAAACTAAGTATAGTCAGATTATTTGGATTGTATAAGAATTTCATAATGTAATTAATGTAAAGTTTATGAATTAAAAAAAATCATGTGAACCAAAACACTTGTGGATATAATCAAGATTCTTGCTTTCAATACATTAACTAAAAAAAAAAATTATCGATAACTTAGTATATTCTAGGCACTGAATATACTTAGTGCTGTGTATACAGAAAATATACTGAGTGCTGTGTATACAGTGAATATAAAATACAGTTTCTTCTTCTCCTGGGTAACAGGCTAGAGGGGAAGACATATTTTAAACAAATAAATTAAACTGCACTTAAAATTAAGATTGTGACAGTGGCATAAATAAATAGAATAAGGCAACAGGAGAGAGAACAATTATGGTGGTAAGCAGGTTTTAATGTAGGTAGAGGATGTCTTCTCTTAGGATTGATATTTAAGCTGGCATCTAAAGGATGGTTAGGGAATAACTAGAGGAAGTTTGGGAGAAATAGAATTCAAAGCAGTAACTAAACACCACATCAAAAAGATAGAAGTATCTCAAAATAACGACCTAACATCACAACTAAATAATATAGATAGGCTGCTAGCTAGACTAGTATGAAGAAAAGAGAGAGGGCCCAAAAAACAAAATTAGAAATGACCAAGGAAGTGTTACCAATAACCATCAGAGACTACTATAGGCATCTCTATGCACACAAACTACAAAATCTAGAAGAGATAGATAATTCCTGGACACACACACTCTCTCAAGACTGAGCCAGGAAGAAATTGATTTCCTGAACAGACCAATAATGAACTCCAACATTGAATCAGTAATAAGTAGCCTACCAACCAAAAAACTCCCAGTGCCAGATGGATTCACCGCCAAATTCTACCAGACGTACAAAGAAGAGACAGTACCATTTGTACTGAACCTATTCGAAAAAATTTAGGATAAGGGATTCCTCCCCAGTCATTCTGTAAGGCCAGCATCATTCTGATATCAAAATCTGGCAAAGACACAACAAAAATGAAAATTTCAGGCAAATATATTTGATGATTATTAATGCAAAAATCCTCAACAAAATACTTGCAAACTTAATTCATGAGCATATCAAAAAGCTGACCCATCATAATCAAGTAGACTTGATCCCTGGGATATGAGGTTGGTTCAACTCACACAAACTTAAATGTGATTAATCACATAAACAGAACTAAAGACAAAAACTACATGGTTATTTCAATATATACAGAAAAGGCTTTTAGTAAAATTCAACATCCCTTCATGTTAAAACCTCTCAGTGAACTAGGTGTTGAAGAAACATACATCAAAATAATAAGAGCCATCTATGACATATCCACAGCCAACATCACATGGAATGGGGAAAACCTGGAAGCATTCCCCTTAAAAACCCACACAAGGCAAAGATGCCTTCTCTTGCCACTCCAACTCAACATGGTATCAGAAATGTTGGCCCAAGCAATTAGGGAAGAGAAAGAAGTAAAGGACATCCAAATAGGAAGAGAGCAATTCAAACTATGCCTGTTTGTAGTCAATGTAATTTTGTATCTAGGAACACAACTAACCAGAAAGATGAAAGAGCACTACAACGTGAATTACAAAATATTGCTTAAAGAAATCAGAAATGACAAAAACAAATGGAAAAACATTCTGTGGTGGTTAATACTGAGTGTCAACTTGATTGGATTAGAGGATGCAAAGCACTGATCCTTGGTGTGTCTGCTGTGGGTAACCCCTCATATAGGCACCAAGGAATGAGAGCTAAGCAGAACCCTGGCACAGTTAGGGCCTGAGGAATACCTCAATTTACAGTGCTACTACTCAGCTATTTCCTGTTATATAATCCTTTACATAATCATATATTAGTTTATAGAAATACGGCTTGATGAATCCCTTTATATAATCTTCTATATATAATCATATAATAGTTGATAGTATGAGTGCCTAAAGAACATTTCCGTACATATATACCTACAATTATATCTTAGTTCATAATCGGAGGAATGCCTAGAGTGGACACGGTACAGAGTATGGATTAAGGAATAAGCAGCTTATAATCGGAGGAATGCCTAGAGCAGACACAGTGCAGGGCATGATTTAAGGGAAAAACAGTTATACCAGGACAAGAATCCATGGCCCAGGCGGCAGTGTTCAGTATAGTAAAGATACCCGCTGTATGGCGGACTTGGGGTAAGAGCCACTCCTCCTGATAAAGGAGTTGTAGGACCTTGCTCCAGTTCTTGTGGAAGGCTGCCCTCAGACCAGTAATCCACCTTGGTGACTGTGAACTTTATCAGCTCTTGCTACTGTGCTCCTTGAAAAGCATCTTCCCATAGAAACCATTGGAAGCTGCCAGAAGGTGGCGGTAAACTTGACAGCTCTGTCACTGCTATGTGACTTAAAGCATCCTCCTATAAATCTTAGAAGCAGTTTGCCCATAGATAGAAGTATTGTACACCGCACCCTCTTCACTGCGCACGGCCCACCTTCAAGCCTCGGTGACCTAATAGGGGTGGACCCCTTACTGCACACGGCCCTTGCCTTCATGAGAATGGGCCCCTTGCTGCACACTGTCCACCTCCTGGCCTAGGTGACCTAATGGGGGTGGACCCTATCACTATCCTTAAAGATGATTTCACTCACTGTCCTGCCCCCTATCCTATACACAATAAATACTCATGCTTCTGGACATTCGGGGCCTCGTCGGACTCCACTCATAGGTGGCGTGGCCCCCTGAGCCCAGCTGCATTTTCTTTGTACTTCAGTGTCCTGTCTCTTTATTTCTTGGATCCTATGCCTCAGCGCAGCATAAGGCTCACTCCACGACCCTGTGGGGCTCTCAGCCCTACATTTGTGAGGGTGTTGCCAAAGGAGATTGACATTTGATTCAGCTGGGAAAGGCAGACCCACCCTTAATCTGGGTGGGCACAATCTAGTCAACTGCCAGTGTGGCCAGAATATAAAGCAGGCAGAAGAACATGAAAAGGTTAGACTGTCTTAGCCTCCCAGGCTACATCTTTCTCCTGTGCTAGATGCTTCCTGCCTTCAAATATTGGACTCCAAGTTCTTCAGCTTTAGGACTCAGACTGGCTTCCTTGCTCCTCAGCTTGCAGATGGCCTATTGTAGGACCTTGTGATTGTATGAGTTAATATTATTTAACAAACTCCCCTTTATATGTATATAGATATATATCTCCTATTAGTTATGTCTCTCTAGAGAACCCTGACTAATACATGTTACATGCTCCTAGTTAAGGAGAATTAATATTATTACAATGACCATATTGCCCAAAGCAATTTATAGATTCAATGCTATTCCTATCAAACTACCAATGAAATTCTTCATAGAATTAGAAAAAAATATTTTAAAATATATAGGGAAACTTGAACCTGAATAGCCAAGGCAATCCTAAGCAAAAAAAAAAAAAAAAAAGCTGGAGCATCACATTACCTGACTTCAAACTATACTACAAGGCCACAGTAAGCAAAACAGCATGGTACTGGTGCAAAAACAGACACATAAAACAATGAAACAGAATAGAAAGGCCATGAATAAGACCACACATCTACAACAATCTGATCTTTGACAAAGCTGACAAAAACAAGCAATGTGGGAAAGGTTTCCCTACTCAATAAGTGGTGCTGGGCTAACTGGCTAGCCATATGCAGAAGATTGAAACTGGATCCGTTTCTTATACCATACACAAAAATCAACTCAAAATAATTAAGGACTTAAATATAAAACCAAACCTGTAAAAACCTTGGAAGACAACATAGGCAATACCATTCTGGACATAGGAACTGGGAGAGATTTCATAATGAAGGCACCAAAAACAATTGCTACAAAAGCAAAAATTGACAAGTGAAATATAAATAAACTTAAAAGCTTCTGCACAGCAAAAGAAACTATCAACAGAGTAAATAGACAACCTACAGAATGGGAGAAAATATTTGCAAACTATGCATCTGACAAAGGTCTAATATCCAGCATCTATAAGGAACTTAAACAAATTTACAAGAAAAAAATGATCCCATTAAAAAGTGGACAAAGGATATGAATGGATACTTTTCAAAAAAAGACATAAGTGGGAGTCAAATAATGAGAACACATGGATACTAAGATGAGAGCAGACACTCAGTCCTACTTGAAGATGAAAGATGGGAGCAGGAAAAGGATCAGAAAAAAATAACTGTTGGGTACTAGGCTCAGTACATGGGTGATGAGATAATATGTACAACAAACCCCCATGACATGAGTTTTTTACCTATATCACAAACCTTCACGTATACCCCTGAACCTAAAAAAATTAAAAGATTGAAGAAAGGCTCTGTGAAGGTTCTGAGTTTGGAAAGGGCTTGACCCAAGACCAGTATGGCTATACCAGGGAATGAGGGAGAGAGTGACAGATAATGCAGATGTAGATGTAGACTACAGCAAAAGTTTTTGTTTTGATAGATCATTGGAAGAATGTGCTTCCAATGAAGTACTCATGTATCTCTTTTGCCTTCATGATTAGGGCAAATAATTGTATTATTTGAGCACAGGTACAGAGTACATCTTATATTTGTATCTCATAGTTAAGTGAAAACCAGATATTTGGTAAAAGGGAGGAAAAGTAGGCAAAAACGTTTTTATCTTTATTCTGTTTGTTTTCATAGGTTGGGAAATAAATAACATACTACTAAGTTACACATTCACCAGGTTTTCCATAAAATATTACTTCCCAGCACCTGGATTAAATACCATGAACTAACTCTACTACAACAATTTTGAGGTCAAAATTATTTTATCCAGTTGATTTTACAATTTAACTTCTTTATTCTAGCCATTTTGTGGAAGGTAGTGTGCAACACACAATTCAGACTGAAAGAGAATCACAGAAACATCAAAGCTCATGAATTGTCATTTTTTACCTTTATTATTCATTCCGTTTGTCTGATTGAAATAAATAATGAACCATAATGCAAAAACCCCATGTGAACAAACTCCTGATCCCAAAGCAATCATCCCCTAGTGATTACAAATTGTTGCAATCAAGTTGCTTAAATCCCAAGTTTCTATTGAGCATGAGTCTGTACCAATTACTGCTTTTTCCCTGGACTTGTCTTTTTCAGTAACACTGCAATTGTTTCTTCAAGAGTATGTTGAAAAATATTTTAGTGATAAAAGCTGCAACTTAAAAGATGAGTATAAATCATTCTTGGTGACTCATCTTTTAGACCGCTAGTGTCTGTGAGAATATCTTTCTTGGCATCAGGTAGGATTAAAAATTCCGACTTCTGCACTTGTACTTTTCTTGTTTCAGCTTTGGATTTGTATCAGTAGGATTCAGGTGACAATAAAAGTAGCTTTGAATGTTAGTTTAGATTCTCAGCCTTTAAAATGAGTCTCTATGCATTTCTTATGTAGATGGATGACTAGAAATTATTATTACACTTTAATCGATATTATTCACAACAACTGTTTCACTTTACAAATAGCATTCTCACCATTTATTCAAATATTGAGCGCACCTGAATAACTACCAGAGTAAACATTAATATGATGATAAAGTCAAGTGTTGAACAGACCTTGACTATCCATTGGGGTAAATATTAATAAGACAATCAATTCAAGTGCTTACTGAAATAATATCTGTTGAAAGGACCCCTCCCCCAAAAAAACTCTTTTTCAAAAATTCAAGAGAGATTGTCTTTTTAATGGCTGAATAGTATTTCATGATATCATAGATGAAACTGGAAGACATTAAGTAAAATAAGCCAGGAAAAGAACATTAAATACTCTATGTTCTCACTCCTATGTGGAAACTAAAAAATGTTTATCTCAGAGAAGTAAACAGTAGAAAAGGGGATACTAGAGGGTAGGAAGGGTAGAGAGAAGGGAAGATAGGCAGAAATTTGTTAAAGGATACAAATTATAGCAAGGTAAGAGCAAGATGTTCTATAGTACTGTAGGATTACTATAATAATATAATAATAACTGTTAATACTATATAGTTTCAAATAGCTAGAAGAAGGATAGTGAATGTTTCCATCATATAAAAGATAAATATTTGACATAATGGATATGCTAATTACCCTTATCTGATCACTATATCTCATACACATCAAAACGTCACTGTGTACCCACTAAAGATGAACAATTATTGTATGTCAACTAAAAATAAAATAGAGGGGAAAATTCAAAAGAGGAACAGATCAATTAATCAGAAATTGTACTTTATCTAGAAAACATAAAACTCTTATAGAACTTTATACACCTTTTTAAAAATTATCAGAGAAAATTTGGGGCAAATTTAATATTAACTAAGAAGTACATTACTAGTAATGAGTGTAGGATAGAAAAATCTATAATTGCAAAATCAGAATGTTAGAAATTATGGGCACTTAAGAAACTATATTGTCAAAGTCTGACATTATATAGATCAGAATTCCGAAGTCCACAGAAAAAAAGTCACCATATCGAGGTAAAGAAGCCATTTTCTTAATGAAGACTCAAACGAGTTTTTTTTTTTTTTTTTTTTTTTTTTGACATATCATAGGGAAGAATAAAACCACAACACATAACATGACCTAGAATTTAGGTTAATGCACTGTGATTTGATAATGTGCCGTGTTATTTTATTCGTAAGACACTAGAATGGAAAACCAAGATGAAGGGATGGTGCTGAAGTCAATTACGGCAGCACAGCAAAGGAAGGTGCTCCTTGCTGGGACATTGATATTCACAGGAGATACTTGGCTACACAAACTACTTATTCACCTCTGTTTTAATTGAAGTTCTTAAAATATCATTATTTTCCCAGCAGTTCTTGTAGACTTGTAAATTTCTTAATGCTCAGTTGAGGTCGTTCCTGGGCTCAATAACTGAAGATAAGCTTCAGTAACTTTTACCTTTATTTTCTATGGCCTTTTCCTTGGGTTCAGTTTCTCCTAGTCTCCCACTGAGTCCATTTTATAGGATGACATAATGGTGACCTGATGCAGTAACTGTGAAAGCAGTTCCATGCTATCCTATCCTGCTATCTCAAACATTTGTATTTTATTATTTTATTTTATTTTATTCTATTTTATTTTTTTGTGAGACAGGATCTCACTCTGTCACCCAGGCTAAAGTGCAGTGGTGCAATCATGGCATCCTAGACCCAAAGGATCCTCTTGCGTCAACCTCCCAAGTAGCTGGGACTACAGGCATCCACCATCACACCTGAATTTTTTTTTTTTTTTACTTTTGTAGAGATGGAGTCTCCCTGTGTTGCTCAGTCTTGCCTTGAACTCTTAGGTTCAAGCCTCAGCCTACCAAAGTTCTGGGAGTAAAGGCATGAGCCACAGTGCCTGACCTTGCATTTTCACTGAAGCCTGAATGAAAGAAAGCTTGTTCCCAAATGAACATTTCCATAAGTAATTCAGATATCAGTAACATTCGTAGAAATTAACTTTGCAACTTTTATCAAATGATTGTAATTTTCTTTTTATTTTCTTTCTTTTTTTTTTTTTTGAGTTGGGAGAATAGGAAAATCTTGAAACTCCAAATTTCACCCAAATATTTACCATGTTTATCAATTTATCATAAACTATACCTCTAGTTTTCTGCTCAACCATATACTTAAACAACCTACTAAATGACAAAGAATACTACTTGAAAAAATATCTTTATGTAATAAAAATAAAAATGTGGGTACAGATATCCTTGTGAATCAAAATTCACCAACATAAAAAGTATCTGTTGACTTTGTTATCTAGTTTATCTGTGGTAATTCTAATACAGTGAAAAGCAAGTTGACATTGTTGAAGCAGTGAAACACTATTTGGAGTTTTATTTTGGTTATCTTTCTTGCAACAAGAAATATAGACTTTAAAAACTCACTGCTGTCTACACTGATTCCTAATTGCCCAGAAATTTCAGATTAAACAGCAATATCACAGCAGGTGAGCCAGCAGCAAGTGAGCATTCCTGCCTGAGCTCTGCCTCCTGTTAGATCAGCGCTGGCAATAGATTCTCACAGGAGCATCAACCCTATTGTGAACTGCATGCACATGCCAGGAATGTAGGTTGCATGCCCTTATGAGAATCTAATGCTTGATTATCCCCAACCACCCCACCCTTCAACCCCTATGTAATGGAAAACTTATCTTCCACAAAACTGGTCCTTGGTGCCAAAAAGTTTGGGGACTGCTATTATAAAGGAAGCCCATGCTTGTATAGTCAAATGAAAGAGGAAGTCGGTGGCTTAATCCATTTTTCAACAAACTTTAGGACACTATTTCCCCATTCCAAAAGACATTGGTAACACAGAAACCATTCTGTTTAGGAATCATCTGCATATTATACACACAGTTAATTGGGGCCTTTGTCTTTTTAAGACAACCAGGCCCTATATTCCGGAGTCATGCCTAACTGGCTGTGTGAGGGAGAGTGAGAAAGAAAAAGAGAGAGAGAATAAGAGAAAGATAAAAAAGAAAACATGTAATGGACTTCTCTTTCACTTTTCTGATTTATTTTAATCCATTTAAGTGGAAAATGCTGGCACCTAAGAAAATGGTCAGAGGAAATTCTACATTGGTGACTGAATTCATTCTCTTGGGATTAACAGATCTTCCAGAGCTTCAGCCCATCCTCTTTGTGCTATTCCTGGTAATCTACTTGATCACTGTGGTGGGGAACCTCGGGATGCTGGTGTTGATCAGGATAGATTCACGCCTCCACACTCCCATGTACTTCTTTCTTGCCAGTTTGTCCTGCTTAGATTTGTGTTATTCCAGTAATGTGACCCCTAAGATGTTGGTGAACTTCTTATCAGACAAGAAAACCATTTCCTATGCTGCTTGTTTAGTCCAGTGCTATTTTTTCATTGCCATGGTGATTACTGAATATTATATGCTAGCTGTAATGGCCTATGATAGGTACGTGGCCATCTGTAGCCCTTTGCTTTATAGCAGCAAGATGTCCAAAGTGCTCTGTATTCGCCTGATTGCTGGTCCATATGTCTATGGGTTCCTTAGTGGCCTGATGGAAACCATGTGGACATACCACCTGACCTTCTGTGGTTCCAATATCATTAATCACTTCTATTGTGCTGATCCACCCCTCATCCGACTCTCCTGTTCTGACACCTTCATTAAGGAGACATCCATGTTTGTGGTAGCAGGATTCAACCTCTCCAACTCCCTCCTCATAATCCTCATCTCCTACATCTTCATTCTCATGGCCGTCCTGAGGATGCATTCTGCAGAAGGCAGGCACAAAGTGTTCTCCACCTGTGGGTCCCACCTGGTGGCAGTGACTGTGTTTTATGGGACCCTGTTCTGCATGTATGTTAGACCTCCCACGGACAAGTCAGTGGAGCAATCCAAAGTCATTGCTGTTTTCTACACTTTTGTAAGCCCTATGTTGAACCCCATCATCTATAGTTTGAGGAACAAGGATGTGAAACAAGCTTTTTGGAAACTGATCAGAAGAAACGTGTTTTTGAAGTAAAATCAGTGTATCTTTCTTCTTAAGTCAAATAAAATATCTCTCTATGAGAACTGTATTTAACTTCAGTAACTTTATAGTAAAGTCAATTTCAGATCAATGAAAAGCTATAATCTAACAACAAAACATAGACATAGATACAGAAGATTTATGGTTTTACATGTAACATAAGAGTTGAATGTGTGTGTGTGAAGGATAGGAAGGCGTATATGCACATATGGAGAATAATTATTCTTTTATGCACTTTTACATTCATAACAATACATTATTTTTACATTATAAAAATACATTGTTGTAATAAAACATTGGGTCTCTATGGAAATGTAAAAAGTAAGATAGATTATTTCCTTTTCTTTCCCACATCCTGGTTTTTTATTCTCACTTCCTAGTGATACTACAATTAACAGTTTCTTAAGTTTGAAAAAAATTTCTAAGCATCTACAAACAAATGTGTGGAGATACACACACACACACACACACAAGATTGTTAAAACACAAGCTGACTGTCATGCATTGCTTTTTGGGGTTTACAATTCTGTAGCTATTACTACGCAGAAACTTCAATCTCGTGTTTTGGAGGAATGTCACAACTGCTGATGAGACTTGCTGTCCCCACTAGGAGAGAAAGCTTATGATAACACCTCTGTGTCCATGCCTGACACCCACTTATGTCTCTCCACTTGTGAGAGTCACTTTCAATAAGACACTTTTCTCCTTCTGTCACAACAGGACATCAGTACAGCTCAGCAGTTATTTTTCAGATATTAACTCTGGAAGTAGGCAAAGAATGGCTCCTATAAGGATATATGACTGGCCACAAATAACTGTGACTTCTGCAGAGCTTATCCATTAAACTCCACACTTCCAGGGTCTAGTGTTCTTCATGCTTTCTCTCACCCCTGCTTTACTAATCTACTTTTTTAAGGATTGATCATGCAGTTTTATTGGCAGCATCAAATTTTACTCACAGTGGTCCTTTGTCATGTTAGTTATTATATACCTAACTTTAGAATGACATATGTCAACTTGTTTGCAAGTATTTTAGTATGAAAGGAAGCAAGAACAAGTTGATATTTTAAGGATGTGACTGCAGTTGATAACATACGCAAAATTGACAAATATGTGCCGAGTATCGACAATAACTCACACCGCTCCTAATACCAAGGAATTTTCAAGGAGCTCTAGAATGGCATAGTTTTACAGGGGTCATGAAACTGTAAAGAGAAAGATCAATACAGCCTGTTAAAAGCTATAAGAATATGGAGGTGCTAATGAAACTAAAGAAAGAAAAAATTATCTCTGGGCAAATTGAAACTGACCATGTGATTGTCCAAGACAAGAACTTATGTCTGTTTTGTGCATCTTCCTCAGCCCTCCCACAGCTCCTAGTATGATGATATGGCAGGTGGGGTCTGAGCAAGATAATTAAGAATCAATTTGTGATTAAATGTGTAGATATTACTTTCAATGAAAAGGAAAAAAAGCCATAAAACTCTAACAAGTCATAACTGAAAAAGACATATTTTTTCCTCAGTTGTATTTCAAAGCTTTCTTTGTACCTCCGAGTTGCTCTCTTTTTAATATTTCCTATGGAAATTTTCAAACTCATTCATTTTATAGTATTGCATATAATTATTTTAAACTTTTTACTACCACATGTTCCTATTTAAATACTTTTATTTTGAAAGTCAGATTGCCTACAAATTCTGTTAAAACACACACATAAATTAAAAAGCTGTTATTAACAGATTTTTTACATTTAATTAACAATTTGTTGAATTCCGCTTGGACACATACCTAGATATATTCCTGTTTAACACACACTTATTTTTAGTTTTGTAAACCTGGTTGCTTGATTTATCAAATTATCTGATATCAGGGCCCATGCTTCTATCTGGACAGCCTAGCTTGGCACTGAAGAAAGGTTCAACAATGACTGCAGCATGAAAAAGTACACACCATAAAAATCAATTTTTAAAAGTAAATGAATGTTCATTTTCCAAGTAAACAAAGTGCCTCAATTTTAGAATATATAAGAAAAGTGTCTTTGAATGGACCAACAGCTGACTCTGAGGGAATATGTTATTGGTCATAAGCCAACTTACTTTTCAGAAATGCAAGTGACCATAATGTCGTTGATGTTTATGACTGACTCTAGCAATAGAAAACCAATAGTTATGCCCATAGGCACACAAGTTTAAGATAAAAGAGGAATTACAGCAAGTACTTTCATGAATTGACTGGCGAGCTGGGATCACATCAATCAGCCTGTTAAGACTATCTAAGTCCATATGGCATTGTGTTAGACATAAAGTAAATAACGTGCTAATGAAAATCTTTGGTATTAGTACATTATTTTAGTAGACCCTGGATTTTACCTAAAAATTAAAGAATAATTTTCTTATTAATGACATTATAATCCCACTATTAAAGTCTATCATAAGGGATTTCAAGAAGAGTCTCCAATTTCATGTTTCTTTTCTTTCAAAGTTAATTCTGCTGAATTTCTTATTTGTTGAATAAATTAGGTAATACAATGAAGAAATAATCAGAAAATATAGACAATATTTACTGTACTTTTGAAAAGAACAATAATTATGATATATTTTTTTCCTCACCCATACAAAAGATCTGTTATTTCTTTTGGGAAAACTTATACATGTATATAAAAGACTAAATGTTATAGGGAACAGTTATGTTATGAGCCTAATTTCTTTGCTCATACAACAGGTATTTTTAGGAGCAATGAATAAGTGAAAAATATTTAGACCCTCACACTCACACATATATACAAAAATAAGAAAAACAAATACTTTTTATCATAGTTCAGGTAATATTTTAAACATAAGTTGTTTTTACTTAATCTGCCCATCAACACTATGAATTCAGTATTATAATCTCAATTTTAAAGAAAAGAAAACAGATTTACAAATTGTTAACCTAAAATCACATAGATAGATCGGAAGGGGAGTTCAAATATGTCTGGCTTTAAAGTTTGTCTATGTTCTTATTATAATATATTTTTGTCACCATACTTTATTGAAGGGAAAATCATATTTTCTATTTTCCAAAAGTGTTGCTGATCATGTGTTTGACAGCTGCATGCACACTGACGGATATAATGCACTATAAAAAACATTCTTTTTATAATGCATAGATAAATTTAACTTGTTCCATAAGATAAACTTTTGTAGTCAGATCCTGACTCCATCATTTATTAGCTAAATGAGTAATTATGAGCATGAACTCTGGAATCTGATTTACTGATCAAGTTATACAGCCTCTCTCTGCTCAGTGTTCTCCTCTATAAGGTGAAGACATAGTGCTTTTTCATAGGGATGCTATCTTCATAGAAGATATTGATTAACACATAAAACACACTTAGGACAGTACTTGATACATAGTATTTACTCAATAAAAGGTAGCTGTTTTAATTATTAACTGGAAAGTTACTTTGCCTTTCTTACACTTAGGTTCCTTCTATAACTTTCTATCTTTTCTTTTAATACATTTGTCACTCTTTAGATACAATTAATGTCTGTGTTCTCTATAATATTGTGAGTGACATGAGGTCAGAAACGATGTTTTGAGAGCAATTATTTTCTATTTCTCAGCCTGGTGTGTAGTTTGTGATTCCTAAAAAAGGATCTATAGATAGGTGATAGATAGGTAGATGATAGCTAGCTAGCTAGCTAGCTAGAAAAAAAGAAAAGTAAAAAAAAAGTAATGGTGATTATATTAGTTTTGTAAAATAATAGGATTTTTCTGCAAAACAAAGCACACTGATTGTATCTTCAATGTCTATATTTTATTCATGTATAATCAGTCTGCTTTTGTTTCCTTCAACAGGATTCATCTGGAAATGTGCAGAATAAATCAAACCAGAGAGAAGAAATTTATCTTCCTGAGGTTGACAAGCTGCCTGGCATTGCACCTTGTCTGCTTTGTCTTAGCTTTATTAATTTGTATTTTTCTTTTTCTTGGGCCTAACTCTGCACATCACATCCTCACACTGTCTCCTTGCCAGTCTGTCAATCCTACAAATTCTAGTTAACTTATTTGGCAAGTTCAATTCCACAGCCAATTTATATGAATGGCATAACATGGTCACATTCCTGTTAACCCGATGTTTTGTCCCTGTAGCCATCTATGAAAATCACATCCACATGGTCATCTGCCTTCCACGTAGCCACAGTATTGGGTCCAAAGTGCTCCACATTTATATGGTTGTCCTTCTCTATGTTTGCGTTTCATGTAGACTTATTTAACAATGTGGTTGTTTTCCCAGAGCTGACCACGTGGAATAGCATCATGTTCTGCCACCTTGTGGCTACTCTGATCACATAAAACCCTATTTTACTATGTGCCATGTTGGACCTCCATAACGTGATGGAAGTATATGGGAATTCTAACAATATTTTCCAAGTAAATTTGGAATCTTTATACTCTGTCAGCCAGAAAAACTTCTGTTTTTAAATTTTGCCTCATAAATTTGTCTAGGTAATGGTACCTCCTTGAAGGAATCAGTAACAAAATTAAAATAGTAGCTGCCCTATATGTGTGTGACTCTTTTTGAACCACCAAATAAATAGAAATAGAAAGAATGTAATGTTTGAAAGTAGTAATGTAATGGTTAATTTTATGTATCAACTTGACTGGGCTAAGGGCTGTATAAATACTTGGTAAAATGTCATTTCTGGGTGTATCTGTGAATGTGTGTCTGGAAAAGATTACCATTTGAATTGGAAGACTGAGTAGAGGAGAGTGGGCTGGCATCATTCAATCTGTTGAGGGCCTGAATAGAACAGAAAGGCAAAAGAGAAGTGAATTTGTTTTCTCTGGGTGAGTTGGGACATCAATCTTCTGCTCTTGGACAATGTTGGTGCTCCTGGGTCTCGGACCTGCAGACTCTGACCAGGACTTAAACTATTTGTTCTCCTAGCTATTAGATGTTTGAACTCAGACTGAATTAAACCACCAGCTTTCCTGATTTTCCAGCCTGCAGGCAGTGAATCATAGGACTTCTTGGCCTCTATGGCTGCATGAGCTAATTTCCATTGTGTGTGTGTATGTGTATGTGTGTGTGTGTATGTGTGTGTGGGTGTGTGTATGTGTGTGCGTGTGTGTGTGTGTGTGCAATACTTGTATAATACATATTCTCTCTGGAGAATCTTGACAAATACAGATTTTGGTATTGAGAGCGGTTCTATAGCAACATAGTTTTAAGGATATGTTTTCTGATCTGTTTCTGAGGTTTCTGGAATTGGCCTTCATTAGATTTCAAGATGCTAATGACTATTTACAGTAGTCAAAAAAGCATTGATAGCCCATGGCATAAACTTGTTATATGTATATGCAAAGCATCTGCATTGAATTATCCTCATCAAACACTTATAAGATGCAAGGAGCTATGTGACTCTCTATATGATACTTTTACACTTTATTGGAAAGCTAAGGAATATAATGACATTGAGTGGTTACTCTTAATGTCACCAGAAAAAGTGCTGAAAGATAAGGATGGGCTCAGGGATTTTAATTCCCAGTCTCACCCTAAGAGCTTCTATACGTGTCCTGAAGGAGATCCTTGTTTCCTGCAGCTTCGAATATAGAATTGCAGAGAGGGATCCCATGTGTTGAGTTGGGGACTTGTGGGAAGATCCTGATGAAGCTTGAGAGAGTCAGCCCCTAAGTTCTGATGAGTGCTCTCTGACAGTGAAAGAGGTGTCCCTACTCCTAGTGGAATTGGCATCCCCGATCCCAGTGGTATCAACTTTTTCACCTATGTCTTGAGTAATTAACTCCATATTGCCAGAAAAAACGGTAAAGATGTCCCCTGAGGCAGTTTACATACAAGACAATACTGATTCTTTTGGGGGCCCACCTTTACCACCCCTCTTTGCTTCTAAACTTATAACTAAACTCAAGTCCCAGCAGGCTCTGAAAGAAGTGCAATGCAAGATCATGAAGAGGTTGATCACACTTCTCAAAAAACAGATGAGTTTTCTAATTTATACAAATTTGGAAACCTGTAGAAATGGATAGTAAGCATATGGTAAAATAGTGGGATGGAGATAAAGTTGAATCAGGTCTAATTTATTAATATGAACTCACTAAACATAGATTCTCCATTTAACATTGCAACTTGGGGAGTCAGAAAAAGCTCTATGTTTGGTTGTTTGGCTGAAACAGGCATCAAAAGATGGTCCACTGTGAGTAAACTGGACGTGTCTAACTTCCCTTGGTTTAATGTAGAGGAAGGAATTTAAAGGTTTAGGGAAATTAAAATTTAAGAGTGGATTTGCCATTTAAAACCTACTCATCTTTACTGGAAGAGTTCATAAGACAAACTTTTTGCCAATACATTGATAAATAAACTTGTGAGGGGACCCCTGGCATCCTTGAAGAGGTATGTGATGCTTTGCTCTGTAAGTCAGACCTTATAGTGGAAACTGGAACCACACAATTGGAAAATCAAAATGTAGTAACAGTAACTAGACCATGGGGTGGCAGAGGCCAAATGGTGACTTCCAATGGCCCAAGGCAAGGGGGGCATAGTTACCATAGTGAACAGCAGGTTAAGCCGTCAAATAGGCTAGTCTATCTGGCACATAGCTATGACATTGGCTAATCATGGCATTCCCAGTGGTATAAGTAAATAGAAAGCCTACTAAATTCTTACTTGATCTGTATATGCAAAAACGTTTTAGGTCAAGGGACAGAAGTCTAATCTGAATTATAACAATTGATAGTTATGTTCCCTTAATTAATTTGTAGATTAGAGCCAGGATACAGAGCCAGAACTCCTTGAATGAAGGTGAGACAAAGTCTTCTCAATGAAGATTTCCATATATTGCTAGGTCCCACAGAGACCTAAGGCCTTTGATGTGGGTAACTGCACTGGAGAAAAAGAAATAATCAGACTTTTGAGCACCACTTGATGCTGGCTCTGTACTGACAGTTTCAGGAGACTCACAGCATCATTATGCCCCTTCAGTGAGTAGGGGCTTCTGATGATTAGATGATCCATGAATTCCATCTCAAAGTGGCCCCAGTGGGGCCCCGAACTCATACTTGGTTATTTCTCTGGTTCCAAAATCCATAAATAGAATAGACATACTTGGCAGAATTCCCATGTCGGTTCTCATACTTGTGGATCTTGGCTAAAAGAAATAGTTGAAATAATTTATTTAAAGTGTTTTGTGAGCACAGAGAAAGGAAAAATAATAATTCTGGCAAAAAGATTTGTGGGTAATTCTCCCAGAGAAGGTAGCCACTGAGGTAGATGGGTTTTAAAAGTTGAGTAGGAATTTCAAAGGGTGGAGGGTAGATTGCAAAGACATTTCCTAAAGAGTGAACCAACTGATCAAGAAGAATAGCTTGGTTGTGCTTGTGACACAAATAATAGATAAGAAAGTAATAAAAGATGAAGCTGAATAGTAAACAGATCAGATAAGGCAAGAATAAAATGCTTTGTTAACAGACTTAATTGGATCTACATGATGCCATGGTTTATACGTATCCTCCAAAAATAATACATTGGAAAGTTAATCACCAATGTAAGTGTTAGGAAGTGGGGCCTAATGGAATGTGTTTAGGTCACAAAGGTTACAGTCTAGTGGGATTAATAAAAAGGCCAAATAAAGAATGACATTTAAAAAAGCCAATTATGAAAAGGCTTGAGGCTGCAAGTCTTTAACTTGCTGTCACCTTCTCTTGCTCTCTGCCTCCCTCCATGCTGATGCAGTATGAAGACTTTTGATAGATGCTAGCATAATGCATTTTGATCTCTCAGTTACCAGAACTAAAAACAGATACGTTTCTGCTTACTGTAAATTACCTAGTCGGTGCTATTCTGTTGTAGTAGCATAAAACAGACTAAGAGAAATTTGGTAATCAGAATTGAACGGTACTATATCAGCTGAACATGTGAAAATGGCCTTGGAACTGAGTCATTAGTAGAGGCCAAAAGATTTTGCAGGAACAGAGTAGAAAACGCCTAGATTGTCATTAATGGAGCTTTAAGGGTGATTATGGTGAGGGTGAAGAAATGTAGAAAAATTCTGGAACTTCTTTTTTTTTTTTTTATCGCCTGAACCCAGGAGACGGAGGTTGCAGGGAGCTGAGATCACACCACTGCACTCCACCATAGGCGACAGAACGAGACTCCATCTCAAAATAAAAAAATAAAAAAATAGCTGAGTGTGGTCGCACACGCCTGTAGTCCCAACTATTCAGGAGCCTGAGGCCAGAAGGATCCCTTGAGCCCAGAAGCTCAAGGCTGCAGTGAGCTGTGATTGCACCACTGCACTCCAGCCTGGGCTATATGATGAGACCCCCATCTTTTTTTTTTTTTGCCAAAAACTCCGGAGAATATACCAAGTAAGAGACCCCCATCTTAGAAAGAAAGAAAGAGAGAGAGAGGGGAAGGAAGAGAAAAGAAGAAAAGAAAGGAGAGAGGGAGGGAAGGGAAAGAAGGAAGATTCCTAAATTCAATTCAGAAACACAAAGATTGGAACTTCTTAAAGATTACATAAGTGGCTATCATCAGAATGCTGGTAGAAATATGGGTAGCAAAGGCCATTCTTACGAGATCTCATGTGAAACTGAAAAACAATGTATGGAAAACTGGAGTGAAGGCCATCTTTGTTATACAGTGGTAAATAAATTGGCAGAATTGCGTCCATATCATAGGGGTCTGTGGAATACAGAACTTAACACATGCACACATATGTTCATTGCAGCACTGTTTACAATAGCAAAGACTTAGAACCAACCCAAATGCCCAGTAATATGATAGACTGGATAAAGAAATGTGGCACATGTATACCATGGAATACTATTCAGCCATATGAAAGGATGAATTCATGTCCTTTGCAGGGACATGGATGAAGCTGGAAACCATCATTCTCAGCAAACTGACACAAGAACAGAAAACCAAACACTGCATGTTCTCACTCATGGGTGAGTGTTGAACAATGAAAACATATGGATACAGGAAGGGGAGCATCACACATCGAGGCCTGCTGGGGGGTGGGGGAACTAGGGGAGGGATAGCAGGGGGTGGTGGGATTTGGGAGGGATAACATCAGGAGAAAAACCTAACATAGGTAACAACGGGGGGATGGCTGCAACAAACCACCGTGGCATGTGTATATGTAACAATCCTGCACTATCTGCACATATACCCCAGAACTTAATGTATAATAATAAACAAAAAAAGAGTAGTGAGCTAGTTATCTGGAAGAATAAATATCTGAGAAGCAAAAAATTAAAGGTGCTGCACAGCTTATTTTGGGTGCTTACGGTAAAATGAGAGAAGAAAGAGAAAAAGATGGTATTTTTAATGAAAAGGAAGCAGCATGAAACAATTTAGAAAACTTTTAGCCTGACCATGTAAAGAATTTAAAAAAACAAAACATGTTTGGGACAGAATACTAAGGGAGTGATCATTTGCTAAAGAGATTAATATAAATAGAGGGAACACAGGTTGGATTTATCAAGACAGTGGGAGGATGATCCTGACAGCATTTCAAAGACCTTGCAGGCAAGCTGGAATTTTGAGGGCAAAGTATCCAGAGGGGTAAATAGATATATGTTTATTTAGAACTGGAAGTGAGC